GAACTTTGGAGCAGGAAGAGCTCTAGACAAGAGAGAAGACTGGGGAGATAAGCTGGAGTCTTCTCCATCCACCTCCTGTGGTTACCCAGGATAGAAGTCCTTTGATCTCCAAAGTTTAGAAAACTCTGAGATAACAGAGAGGTATGGGGGAGGTGAGCAGGAGTCTTCCTCCGTCCTGCCCCCTATGGTCAACCTGGAAGGAAGTCTTTGTAACCCCTGTGGCTATACTGTTACCTTAATTATCACATGTACCTTTTACTTAATTGCCACCTATGTGCTATTTTGTGTTTTACTTGTACTTCCTCACATGAATATAAAAACCCCTAAAACTGGAAGGGGACCAGCTCCTTTAGGGAAGGATCTGTGGGTCAGGCCGCTAGCGAAAAATTAAATCCCTCTCCTCTGACTTTGGCTGCTGGTCTCTGATTTTCCCGTGACATTATTACTATTTTTTTTTTTTTCTGTATATGAGTATTTTGCTTGCATGTATGTAAGTGCATCTGAGTCATGTAGTGCCTGTGGAGGTCAGAAGATGGTGTCAGATCCCCTGGAACTGGAGTTACAGGTGGTTGTTAGCTGCCATGTGGGGTGTTGGAAACCAAACCTGGGTGTTCTGCAAGAGTGGCTAGTGCTCTTTAACAGGTGAGCCAGCTCTCTAGCCTCCTCTCAATGCTGTTTTTCAATTTTGTTTCTTTTCTGTTCCTCTAAGTTCCAGGGCAATCTTGCTTGCCTAAGCTGGAAGTGGGGTTTACTTTTGATTTACCCTAACCTTATGAGTACCCTTAAGGGGTCCTAATTTAATGCTAGGAAAATTCCACTTAAATTCCCCATTAGATAGCTGTAGACCTGTGCTTTAATATTTATCACTAAAGCCCAAATTCAGTTTTCTATATGGGAATCCATCCTTTGGGAGCTTCTCTGTTGTTCTGGACAGCTTTAGTTGTCAACTTGACACACCTGGGTTGAGGGAGCCTTGACTGGGGAATTTCCTCCGTTGGACTGGGCTGTGGCCATGTCTCTGGGGCATTTTCTTGATTGTTCAGTGATATAGGAGGGCTCAGCTCACTGCTGGTGGTGCCATCCCTGGGTAGTTGGTTCTGTATTATGTAAGAAAGCAAACTGAGCATGGGCCAGGGGAGCAAGCCAATAAGCAGTGTTCCAACATGGCCTGTGCTTCAGCTCCTGTCTCCAGGTTCCTGCCCTGAGTTCCTACCTTGGCCTCTCTGTGATGACTATGACCGGGAAGATGTAAGCCAAAAAAACCCCTTTCCTCCACAAGTTGGTGTTGGTTAGACTGTTTTGTCACAGCAGTAGAGAAACAAACTAGAACATCTGTGAAGCTAGACCAATAAAACTGTTGTTAAGAAACACTGTTTCCTGTTGGAAATGCATGCTATTTCCTACCTCATGTGCTCCCGAGTTAATCTGATGCCAAGTGTGGACACTGGGGATATGAGTCAGGATGCTTATAACCATGTGCCCTCAGGCTGATGGAGAACGATCATCAAAAAAATTTTTTTAAACGCTGCCAGTGGTGGTTGTAGGGGCTGGGGCATGGGCCCTGGCCACTTCTCTTGGGGTGTGAGGGTCTGGTGGCGGGTGCATCCAGGAGGCAGCTGTGAGCACTCTACTTTGCACCTCTCTTGCTAGGGGCTGGGCCTACAGGTGGACACTGAGCCATGTACTCACGGATCACCCGCCATCATCACTCAGGTGACCAACCCCTAGGAGGATGAGGGCCAATCACTGGGTACAGGCGAGAAAGGAATTGGGGAGTAAAAAAGAAAATGGCTGGAGAGCTAAGATGGTGGTGATGGTGGATGAAACACAACTTTGGGAGAAATTCAAGTCTGCAAGTAACTGTTGTCTCCATTTGCTGCACAGAAGCCAAAATACTCTATCTTAAACACAACTATAATCATGTGGACAGAGCAGTGGAGACAGGAAAATAGTAGGAACCAGTGTAATTGAAATTCTGACCCATCCCTTGAGTCTGGAACAATGATCAACTCCCGGGAACCTGGAGCTGTGGTCTTCTCCCATGAGTCTGGGCTGTAGTTGTCTTCTGAGTCTGGAGCTGTGGTCTCCTTCTGAGAGCCTGGACCTGTGTCCCACTCCTGTGAGCTGGAGCTGTGGTCTTTCTGTGACACTGGTACTGTGGTAGCCTCCCATGAACCTGGACCTGTGGTCTTCTCCCATGAGCTAGAATTGCAGTCCCTTCCTGTGGGCTGTGGCTGTGGTCCCCTTTTGTGAGCTGGAGCTGAGCTGAGGTCTCATCCATGAACCTGGGGCTGTGGTCCTCTCACATGAGCCTAGAACGTTGGTCCCCTACCGTGAGCTACGGTTCCACATTCCTCAGGTAATAGGCTGATGGTGGAGCAGAGTGGAAGATGGAGGACCTCCTGTTTGGCAGCAGTGTCAGTTGTTTCTGAGTGGCTTGACTCCCCATGACCCCTCCCCCAAGGTCCCAGGTTGTGTATGGCAGTAGCTTTGCCTCTGTGTTGGGTTCATGCTGGGGACAGGGGAGGTCTGTGTCACTTGCAGATTCTGGTCTTGGAAGGACTGATTCTCTAGAACAGACTTCCCACCTCCCTTGATGGCCAGCTATGGTCTTGACTCCACATGTGGTCCTGGGCATCCAGGCCTTGATGTTGGACCTCTACCGTTCCCAGGCACCAAGAGGTTTTCCATCATTTTTCTACTACTCTTCTACAGCCCTATTGTGCCTTCACCTGTGCCCTACAGAAAATGTAAAACACCTAATTGAACTTTTAGAGATAAAAGTCACAGTCTGGGAAGTTAAAAAAAAGAAAAAGTACTGTAATAACTAAATTGTTTTCTCAATCTAAAAAGATGTAGTAATAATATTCACAATTCTCTACTATAATTTTTATTTACTGACAAAATTATACTCCAAGCTTCAGTAATAATGTGAAATTTGTCACTGTTGCTGTAATGTGGGTTTGGAATTCACTCCCTTTTCAAATCCTCCAACCTATACACAGGTTTTCAATATAATTATGCTTTTTTCTTTTCTTTTTTTTTTTTTTTAAAAAGAAAGCAATGCTAAAAAATCCCACCCAAAATGGGTGTGGTGGTATATACTTGTAATCCTAGCACTTGAGAAGTTGAAGCAGGAAGATCTTAAGTTCAAGGTCTTCCTTGACTATAAATTGAATTTGAGGCCAGCCTGGGCTACATGAGACCCTAAGTGTTTAGTGGAACTCTGCACTGCCTTTTTCCTTTCTGCAGTACTGAGGACTGAACCTAGAGCCTCATGTATGCTAGGCAAGTGCTCTGCCACTGAGCCCCCTTTTTATTTTCTATTTTGAGACAGCTTCTCATTAAGTTACCTAGTCTGGTCTTGAACTCTGTAGCCCAGGCAGGTGTTAAACTTGAAATCCTCCTGCCTCAGCCTCACTAGTATATGAGATTACAGGCATACACCAACAGACTAGGTTTGCACTACTTTTCTTGAGTTCAATTCCATGCTTAGATTTAGAGATACCTTTACTATTCTGAAAGCTTTGAGTCTCACTGTGAGTACTTGGCTGGCCTAGAACTTACTATGTAGATAGATCAGGGTGACCTGGAACTCGGAGATCTGCCTTCCTCTTGTCTCACGAGTGCTTGGATTAAAGGCATGCACTACCACACCTGGTCAGCTCCTCTTTCTAAGTAAACATACTACTCTACACAGTTTATTTATTTGAAGTATACAACTGAATGGTTTTTAGTGTATTCACAAAGTATTTTAATTATCTCAAAATGAAACCTAGTGCTTAAGACCTTTTTATATTTAATTCTGCATTTTGTTTTAATTATTTGTTTGTGTGTCTGAGTGTATGTGGATGCCCTCAGAGGCCAGATGTGTTGGATCCCTTGGAGCTGGAGGTGTTTGTAAGTCACACAATATGGTGCTAGAATCTGAATTCCAGTCCTTACCATTGAGCACTAAGTGCTCTCAGCCACCCAGCTATCTCTATCTCTTCAAGCTGCAGGTATTGCCAGTGCACCTTCAACTTGATGGTTGCAGATTTTTTTCCTGCTGCTACCACGGATTGAACCTAGGACCTCATGCATCCTGATCAAGTACTCTACCACTGAACTATGTCCCCTGGTGGTTGCATTTTGTCTTCTAAGGTTGGTCTCCTAGCTGTTATTGGGGTCCTGGTTCTCAAACCATCTTGGTACTAGAGTGCATTTCTATCAGGAGCCAACATGATCAGAGGCTACCTTCTCTACTCCAGACTGCTGAGATTAAGGCACGTTCACCATGCCCAGTTGACACTGTCCTCTTGTTGAAGGTCTTTGATAAATGTTCGTCACCTTCTATTTATTATACTTTATTATTCTTCCATTTAGCAAAATTACTTGAGTTATTACTGTGCTAACAAGGAAAAGGAAGCTGTCAAACTTGTAAACTTACCTATTTGTTGAAACACTGTGCATTTTACTTTCTGGAAATAGGGTCTCGTGTATCCTAGGCTGGCCTTGAATTTGCTATGTGGCTGATAACCTTCAGCCTCTGACCCTCCGTATACCATGCCACATTATTGTCATTTTCAAATGTCTTTACCTCCTACTCAAACTTACCTGACATTCATGTACTTTTATCTAAAGATTCAGCTGTTGATTTCTAATTTTACCTTTATTTTCTTTGGATGAATAATATGAGGTGTGAAGGCCTAATTACATACAAATATAAACACGGATTAAACTGCTCAAACTCTAGAGCTCATGAATATACAAGGAGCCATCATGTATGGAGGAACAGGTAACATGAAGTCATGAGGGAGTGGTGTGATGAATGTGACCAGGGAAGCATTAATGTACCCGTAATTTGATTTTTCTGGGCTGTAAGTGCAGAGCCGTGGGCTAAGTGTAAAGATAAACAACAGTGCATTTTCCATTTCACAGCTTTTACTTGTTTCACATTTCAAAGAGGGGACATAATCATTTAAGAAAAACATACTCAAGTAAAATGCTATTTAGCGAATATGAAACTAAAGCAACATATTGAAAGAAGAAATCAACTTTTCTTTGTATTGCAAAAATCAACATTTATTTTGTTTACAGTATCTTTTTACTGCCACAAAAACATCTGAGCAAGCATCAAAATCTTTACAGATGTTAGTATAGCAGCATTACAGGAGATAATTGGCTTTTTTTTCTTTTGCAGTGCTGAGTTATTTAACTCTGGGCCTTATGCATGCTAGGCAAGCATTCTACCACTGAGCTACACCCTCAGCCCGTTTTTTAAAAATAAAAAGTAATATAAAAACTTCTAATGCTACAACCTTAACAAATATCCATAAAAAATTCAACTCAAGTTTAAAAACTTGGTTTTATTAAAGTATAAAACATTAAATTCCACATTTTAAAACACCATTATTATAAGAATCAGCAAAGTCTCTTCATAACGACGTATGTTTCAATACTTCCATTTTGAATAGCATATTTTTTAAAAAATCTTTTTTGAGTACTGAAAAATAAGTGGGGAAAAAGTTAATATCTCCAAAATTCTTGTTTTTAAAGTGATAAGATTACATAGTATAAAATATATCATCTTAACCATTTCAAGTGTGTAGTTCAGTAAAGTTAACTATGTTTATTACTTGAAAAATCATTTATTACTTGTATCCAGTAATCAATAATGCCCCCTTCGCTTATAGTATTCTGTTTCTTTTTATTGAGATAGGGTTTCATGTAGCCCAGGTTGGCCTGGAACTCCTGGTCCTGCTGCCTAAACCTGAATTAGAGATTTTGGATATGTCATACTGGACTCATACATTATTTGCCATTTTGTAACTTTGTCATTTAAAGCATAATGTCCTCAAGGTTCACCCAGGTTCCAATCTTAAGGTTGAAAAACCCATTGTTATGTGAATGATACACTGTATTAGTCTATTTTTGGACCTTTGGGTAGCATTCAAGAGAATAATGTTATCTTTCTAAGTACTTGTGGTAAATATGAGGGTGCAAATCTTTTGAGGCTCTGCTTCCTACTCTTTTGAATATATACCTGGAAGTAGAATTGGGACATCATATGATTGCTGAGGAAGCACCATAGTATTTCCTACAGCAGATGCAGCAATTTACAATACCAACACTATGCCTACCAGGGGTCCCATTTGTCTCCATGCTTGCCAACACTTGTTGTTTTTTTTCTGCTAGTTCTTTTATTGGTGGCATGCTGGGCTTCGTGCATTTTAGGCAAACACTCCAACACTGAGCTACATTCTCAGCTGGATAGTAACCATCTTAATGGGGGTGAACTAAACTGATATCTCTGGGTTTTTTTTGTTTCTTTCTTTTTGAGACAGGGTCTCCCTGTAGCTCCAGCTGGACTGGAACTCGCTGGCCTCGAACTCTCAGAGATCTACCTGCCTCTACCTCCCAAGTGCTGGGATTAAAGACATGCACCACCACATCCCTGATAGCTCATTGTGATTTTTATTATTTATTTAAAAAAATATTTGTGCGTGAGTGCATGTATATATGTTCCATGGCATATGTGTAGAGGTCAGAGGGTAGCTTTGGAGAGTGTGTTTCCCCCTCCATCTCTTGTTGAGGCAGGGTCTCTTGTGTTCCTGCTGCTGTACACCCCATGAGCTTCTAGGTGAGTCTCCTGTCTCCTGCTCTTCTCTCTATAGGAATACAGATGCATGCCATTGCATCTAGCTTTTTACATGGATTCCAGTGAAAGAAGTCATCAGGCTTGTACAGCTCTAGTTTTACCCACTGAGTCATCTCCCTGGACCATAGCTATTTATTTATTTATTTACTTATTTATTGATCTTTTGAGACAGGGTCTCCCTGTAGCCCCAGCTGACCTGAACTCACTATGTAGACCAGGCTGGCCTTGAACTCACAATGATCCGCCCGCCTCTGCCTCTCACCACGCCCGGCACAGCACTATTTTAAAACAGGATGTTGTCCTATTTGTCTACTTTTGCTTTTGTTGCCTGTGCTTTTGTTATAGCCAAGAAGTTGCTGTATTTATTGTCAAGTGTTTCTCATTTTCTTCTAAGAGTTTTATAATTTTGGGTCTTACATTTAGGTCTTTAATCATCTAGTGTTAATGAAAGTTCAACTTAGAATAATTTGTTGAAATGACTAATCTTTTTCCTATTGAGTACTCTTGACATCTTGCCAAAATCATTTGATCAAATATGCAAGAGTTATTTCTGGGGTTGTGCATTCTCTTTTGTATCTGGAATCCTAGTACTGTGGCGGTTAAGGTGGAAGACAGTAGGCTTGAGGCCAGACTGGACTACATCTGTCTCAAAAAAAGAAAAAAACAAACAAACCACTAATTAGATCTTTTGGTAACAGGTGAAAGAATAGTATCAGGTTAGTGGCTCTAAAAGATAATGCCAATTGTAATATATACACTATCAGAGCCTAGTTTTGAAAGACAAAGATTCAAATTAGTTTATATTATATAAATTTACCTGTGGTAGGCTGGTGATATATAAGACATTAATGAAATTTCTGGGGCTTTCCTTGAGGTCTTCCCAATTTTCTTTCCATTTCTCTTTTCAGTTTATTTGCTTTGTATTTCTCAGCCATTAGGACAAGCTCCTCTGGAATATTCTGAAATTATTAAATGTGTTATTAGGATTCTGAGTTCCTTCCTTTCTACAGTATGTTGAACTGCCTTTAAATAATTTCAGAGAACCTCACAATTATGACATCTCCCCATCCCCCAAAAAACAACAAAAAAGTCTTTCTCTGCCTGTTAAATCCTAATTATATTTCTAAGGTACAGAAAAACTAATTTAAAAAATTGATTTGCTACTTCCTGCTTCTACTGTCCCTTAGTTACTTATCAGTTCCCTTAACAGCTTTTTTAGAAAAAAATTATTGAGAGAGAGAGAAAATTCAGGTACTTACTCAGAGGACAACTCTTGGGAGTCAGTTCAATCCTGTTACCTTGAGAGATCTGGGGCTCAAACTCAGGTTGTTGGGCCTGTATGCATGTACTTCTAACCACTACACCATTTTGCTGACTATATTTTTTTTTATATATACACACACATATAGTGCTAGAGCTTTAGTTGTCAACTTGACACACCTGGGTTGAGGCAGCTACAACTGGGGACTTGCCTCCATTGGATTGGCCCTATGGCCATGTCTGTGAGGCATTTTTTGATTGTTGAGTGATGTGGGAGGGGCCCAGCCCACTGTGCACAGTGCAATCCCTGGGTAGGTGGTCCTATATTGTATAAGAAAGCAGGTTGAGCACGGGCTGGGGAGCAAGCCAGTAAACACTGTTCCTCCATGGCCTGTGCTTCAGTTCCTGCCTCCAGGTTCCTGCTCCGAATTCCTACCTTGGACTCCCTCAGTGACCTTGGAGATGTAAGTCAAATAAACCCTTTCCTCCTCAAATTGGTATTGGTCAGATTGTTTTGTCACAGTAACTAAAAGCAGACTAGAACAGAAATTGTATGCACATGCTTCTAACCACTGCATCATTTTGCTGAACATATATGTAATCATTTTTTTGAGAATTTAATACTGTATGAAATGTCTATCCTTCCTTTTCCCCATTCCAACTCCTCTAATGTCCCCGTCACTCCCTCTCAAATGTCATGGCCTTGAGGGCTGGAGAGATGGCTCAGTGTTTAAGAATACTGGCTGCTCTTGCAGAGGACCCGGGGTTCAGTTCCCAGTACCCACATGGAGGCTAACAACAGACCATAACTTCAGTTCTAGGGGATCCAAGGCTCTCTTCTGTCTCTGTGGGCACTGCATGCATATAATGCACTTACACACATGAAGGCAAAACACTAATATACATAAAACAAAAATAATAAAGTGTCATGGCCTCTTCTTTAATGATTATTTGTGTGTGTGTGTGTGTGTGTGTGTGTGTGTGTGTGTGTATAACCCACTTAGCCCATTTAGTACATGTGTTTAGAGCTTACCACTTGGGACTGGACAACCTATCAGGACGCTCCTTCCTTTCTCCCTTGCTCAGCAGCCACTGATTATTTGTAGCTCTTCATCTAGAGGTGGGGCCTTTATATATTTTTAATGAATTACAAAATAGTAGGTTTCCATATGGCACTTTCATTCATCCTTAGTTTTGGTCAACCCTTGTCCTCTCCTCTCCCCCTACGTGATAAGGCATCCTTTTCTTCTGGTATGATGCTTACATATTCTTCCTCGTCCTTGGACCCAATTGGTTTCCAGTGCTGGAACACACAGCATGCACTGTACAAGTCCTCACATTGCCACTGCACTGCTGCTTCCTCTGCAGGGCTGCCATTGCTCACTCTTCAGATAAGGTTCCCCAAGCATATCTCCCACAGCTCACAATCTTCTCCAGGCTATAACTTCCATATTACTTAAAAAAACTTGTTTTTATACATTTTACTTGATAAGCAAGACCCCTAGGACTTAGCATAATGTATGACTGAAACATTAAGATGTAAATTTCTAGTAAGTTGCATATTATCACCTGATTTGCTCTTTCCAGAATATTAATCAATTCAGTGGCAACCCTCCAATCATTTCTTGTGATAAGGGTAATTGACATGCCAGTCCTCCTTTAAAAAGAGAGAAAAGGTTCATGTAATTTCTTACATACCATGTATTCATAATTCAGTTAATATATAAAATAGAACAAAAACAAAAAAATCAACTTTTTCATACAAGCCTAAATATATGTTATATACCTAGTGTCACATAAACAGCAATTTAGAATCTAAATACAGAATCCAAGGGTGTTAGCTCCAGGACCCTATGAGGATATAAATCTGAGTATGATCAAGTCAATATGGCATCATAATCCATGTCATCTGGTGTAATGCATGCCTAGATCACTTATCTACTATATATAAATTCTATACAAATAACTGTCATAGTCCATTGTCTTGGGAATAAAGACAACAACAATAAAAATCTGTGCAGAAGCTGGGCCAGCACTTGGGAGGCAGAGGCATGTGGATCTCTGTGAGATTCAGGCCAGCCTGGTCTACATACTGAGTGCCAGGCCAGCTGGGGCTACAGGGAGACACTGTCTCAAAAAGACCGACCGACCGACCAACCAACCAACCAACCAACCAACCAACCAACCAACCAACCAACCAATCTGTGCAGTTCAGCATAACACGCCCCCCCACATCTCCTTTAAGGTTTATAAAACAAATTCTATGCAACATCTTCTTTACATCATAAGCTAAGTACAATGGTTAAGTTTCTCTTTTTCCAACATTTGTTTTATGGATATAATATAGGACAATTTGTTGACTGACTTGATTCTCTATAAAATAAATAACCCTCTATTCTTTATACAATAAATTACATTTTCTATAAAATTGGTTTATTATAGATGAACAAGAGGCAGATGTTAAAAAATAAATATTATACAGGGATAAATAATATTTTAGTCATGGTAACCTAACATTACCCCTACCCCAACTAACATTAAGAAAAAAACCTTTTTGGTCTTTTTGAGACAGGGTCTCCCTGTAGCCCCAGCTGTCCTGGATTCATTATGGATACCAGGCTGGCCTTGAACTCACAGAGATCCGCCTGCCTCTGCCTCCCGAGTGCTGGGATTAAAGGTGTGCGCTGCAACACCTGGCTAGAAAAGAACCTTTTAAGAACATGAAACTTTGAAAATTTACAAAGAGCACTGTAATAGCAATGTGATTTACCACAATTTTTTGACAATTACATGAAATATGTGTATACTTAAGAGTTTCCATCTAATTTATAGATCCTCCTTCATGACAAAGAAGTTAAACAGTCACTAACTGTACTCCAGGCCAATGAATGAGCAATGCTCTCATAGCAAGTTTTAATATAACACAATTCTTTTGAAAAAAATTTTGTTTTGAGGCAGGGTCTCACTATGTAGTCATGGCTGGCTTGGAACTCACTATGTAGACCAGGCTAGTCTTGAATCTTGAGATCCAGTTGACTCTGCCTCTTGAGTGCTGGGATTAAAAGTGTGCATCACAATGTCCAACTGAAATATTTTTGATCTGTGGTTGATCAAATCTGAGGACACAGAAACTCAAGGTTCAGAAGAAGGCTGATGTAATTTGAAGGTGTTTTAAACTACCCAAAGGGGGTCACGGTTGGGATAAAGAGGTTCTGTCATGTATTCATGCCAATTTGAACAATTTGTCAGTAACGTTCAAATTCACTGAGTACAGCTCAGTGCTAGAATATGACAGGTTTAAAACAGTGGTAACATAAACAATTACATACTTAGGAGGCCGAGGAAGGAGGATTACAAAGTTCAAGGCTTGCCTGAGCAATTTAGTGAGATTGCCTTAGAAAATTAAAAAGGGGAGGGGGCTGGAAAGATGGCTCAGAGGTTAAAAGCACTGGCTGTTCTTGTAGAAGACCTTGGTTCGATTCCCAGCACCCACACAGCTATTAACAACTGTAACTACGGTTCCAGGGATCCGACACCCTTTTCTGACTTCTGTGGGCATTCACAACATGGGTTCACTTACATACATGCAGATAATACACTTATACATAAAATAAAAATAAATTAAAAAAAGAAAATAAGAGGAGGAAAAGTATAAAGACTGGGTATATAGCTTAGTAGTAGAAAACTTGCCTAGTATGTATGAAACCTCAGTACTTCAAGCAAGCAAACAAACAAACATAAAACCCATAAATGACAACTAAAAAACAAACAATAAAAACCCTAATAAGAAGGTAGTCATAGCAGGATCTAGTCTTCTAGATAAATAGGGATAAAGAAGCCAATCAGGGTCTAAAAAGGAACAGAAAATTTATGAGAACAAAATGGTTTCTGGGTAAGAATAGCTTCTGAGGGGAGTGAGGAGAATCCAGAACCAGAGCTGGCCCCTCTCCAGGGTAGACCAGGCTGGCTTACCCTGCTCTTCCAGTGCGCCCTATTCTGTGTACATATTCTTCAATGTTCCGTGGAAAATCGTAATTGTAGACATGAGTGATATCATGGACATCAAGACCTCGAGATGCTAAGTCAGTAGCAATTAGTATCCTCACTTTACCTAGAGAGTAAAGTCAAATGAATCATCCAAAAGTTAGTCCAAGACATGGGAACACATATTTATTTACTCGTATTACTTAATCAGAAGATTATTGCTTACATTTAAATGTTTAGTGAAAATAGAAAACAAATTAAAAATATTTTTCTTATTATTTTTATTTTATGTGTATGAGTGTCTGCATGTATGTAAGTGTACTTGTGTCATGCAATCCCTGCAGATGTCCGAAGGGTGTCGGATTCCCTGGAACTGGAGTAAGAGATGGCTCTTAGCCAGTATGTGGACTGGGAATTGAGCAGCCAGTTAAGAGCAGCCAGTGCTCTTAACTGCTGAGTCATCTCTCCAGCCCCCAAAAGAAATTTTTTTAAACTACTGGTAAGTCATGACACAACTGATACCACAGTTTAGCAAACTGAACTATGTGAGAAAGATATATAACCTTAAACTAAGATATAGTCTCCATTGCAAATTAATATTTTGATACAAGTTTATATATTAGTCTTTTTGGAGTTTAGTTATTTTTTAGAAGCAGATTAATATTTAGAGCTCTAACAAGTATATTTTGAGGTTATGCAGTGAGGACAGACCTGAGAAATGGGATACATGAAAAGATACTGTCACTCCGCCAAGCCCAGGTACTGGACTTACCTCAAACTGCAACAGATAGCAATTATAACTTTACCTGTCTTAAAGTTCTCTAATGCTTTCTCTCGGTCACTCTGTTCTCTGTTGCCATGCAGAGACTCCACTGATATGTGTCGAAGGATCAGGTCACTCGATAAGTGATCAGCACTGAAGCAGAGGACACAGTTCATGACCTCAAGTGCTTATCTATTTGCCATCACCTAGCTTCACATCTACTAGCAAACTAAACAAGTTGTCTCACTTGAAATTAGATACAAACAGAAATAATCATGAGTAAACTGACTGATAATAATGCAAGCACGGGGATATACCTACATGGCTTTTCTGCTGACAAAGACAATGACTTTGTCTTTAGGTGACATATTTTCTAGGAATGTCTGGATATGAGTCCGTTTTTCTTCTTCTGTGGTGATTATTATATTTTGCTTCACTGTACTTACAGCCTACACAATTCAGAGATCATAGTATATTAAAGCATGTGGGAGAAACCCCACCATCAGCTCAAAAACACACTGGTTTATATTCTGAAGACAAAAAGTAAGAATATTTAGCAAAACTACCCATTTCTACTTGACTTATGTCTCAGACTTTGATTTTATTATTATTCACCCACACTGAGTCTGGAAACACATACATGACTGGCAGGTTTACTGAAAGCTTTGGCTACTGCTGTTAAGAATATCCATGAAGTAATATTTGGCATAGTGGCACGTGCCTTTAAGCTCAGCACTGAGGAAGGAGAGGCAGGGTAGATCCCTGCACATTTGAAGCCAGCCTGGTCTCTACAGCAAGTTCCAGACCAGCTAGGGCTACCTAGTGAGACCCTGTCTAAAAAAACCAAGAAAACAAAACAAATAACAAAACCCAATGAAGTAATGCCATATTTGCAAGAATTATCTTTCTGATTTCTCAATATCACCCTTTCAGTAGAGGATAATCAGATGATGACACTCAGGTCTCAATTTAGTAAGTATTTTGGCAATTACATTTAAAAAATTTTGATTCTATGTGTATGAGTGCATTGCCTGTATGTATGTTAGTGTACCCATGTCATACAATGTCTATGGAGGCCAAAAGAGGGCATTGGAGCCCTTGGAACTAGAGATAAGGACTGTAGTTAGTTGTCATGTGGGTCCTGGGAATCAAACCCAGGTCCTCTGCAAGAGCAGCCAGTAGTCTTAACCTCTCGAGCCATCTCTCCAGTCCTTATTTTGGCAATTTGATGCAAAATTGATTGGTATCATTCTTTAACCCATAATGGAAAAAAAAAAAAAGAACTCTCTTTAGATAAAACAAATGGCTCTTAGTGAAACACATCACTTTTAAAGTATTATTTTATATGTACTATTAACTTTTTTGCTTGTGTACAGTGGGCATGCATGTATGTATGTATGTAGGCACATATGTATGGAATCCCAAAGTTCTCAGCCAGGGTCTTCCTCGCTTGTTCTCCGCTTCATTTACTAAGGCAGGGTCTCTTACTGATTCAGAGCTCACTAATTATGGATTGCCTCCCTAGCCAGTTTGCCGTGGGGATCCCCCTGTCTATGCCTCCCGAGTTTTGGGATTACAAGGGGTCATCATGCCGACCCAGCTTTTATGTGGGCTCTGGGGATCTAAATTTCATATGCTTGAGCGGCAAGCAGTTTAAGCACTGGCCATCTCCCTAGCCCCTATAATTGCTATTATATACTATTAGTAAATTGATGAGTGGGTAGAGTAGACATGTCAAAATTAACAATGTGTTTTGTGGATTATTTTTTCTGGTCTTGGGGATTGAACCCAGAGCCTCATGGTTGCTATATGCACTCTATCACTGAGATATACTCCTCTCCCATTAACTACGTTCTTTAAATTTTTTTTTTTTTTTTGAGACAGGGTCTCCCTGTAGCCCCAGCTGTCCTGGAACTCACTATGTAGACCAGGCTGGCCTTGAACTCACAGAGATCGCCTGCCTCTGCCTCCTGAGTGCTGGGATTAAAGGCATGCACCACTATGCCTAGCCTAAATGTTGTAGTTTTTTTTTTTTTGGTCTTTTTGAGACAGGGTCTCCCTGTAGCCCCAGCTGTCCTGGAACTCACTATGTAGACCAGGCTGGCCTTGAACTCACAGAGATCGCCTGCCTCTGCCTCCTGAGTGCTGGGATTAAAGGTATGTGCCACCATGCCCGGCCCAAATGTTGTAGTTTTAACAGCAATAAAAAACAAGCTTACAACTAGGTCCAAAGTACCGACATAGACAATCATTGGCTCTTTCAAATAAGACTGTGCAAGACGACGGACAGCATATGGCCACGTAGCACTGCCAACAAAACAGAATACACCAAGATTAGAGCTTTATCAAAGTGCATTACTAAATTTCATTAAGCATACTGTGAACCATACTTGTCATGAAAGACTTCAGTACTCCATATCTTTTAAATAAGTGAAACAAATTTTATTATTATTTATTATTATTTTATGTGTATGAATGTATTGCCTGAATGAATGTAAGTGCACCCGTATCATACAGTGCTTGCAGAGAACAGAAGAAAGTGTCAGATCCCCTGGAACTGGAGTTACAGACAGTTGTTATCTACCATGTAAGTACTGGGATTGGAACCCAGGTCTTCTGCAAGAACAGCAAGTGCTCTTAACTGTTGAGCCATCTCTCCAGCCCCATGAAACAAATTTTATAGTTAAGTTCCACTAAGAGTTGTCCAATATAGTTCAGCCACTGGATACAACGTTTAACTATATTTAAAAAATGTTTTTTGTAAAAAAATAACTCAGGGGCTAGAGAGATGACTCAGCAGTTAGGAGCACTGGCTGCTCTTTCAGAGAACCCAGGTTGGAGTCCCAGTACCCACATGGCAGCTAACAACTGTCCTAACTCCAATTCCAGGGGATTCAATGCCCTCTTCTACCTTCGAGGGTATTACATGACACAGGTGCACTTACACACATGCAGGCAATATGCTCATACACATAAAATAAAAATAGTAAAATATTTAAAAAAATAAAAAACTCAGAGGTTAAGGATACTTATGTATCTCCAAATAAATTCTCATCTGTGAAAAGGTAATAAAAGGAATTAGTATTGTTAGTTTTATCTCATTCTTTATAAAAGACAACCCCCCGCCCCCCAAATAAACCATATTTTTCATATGTTACCATGAAAAACCAAGTGCTAGGCCCAATACAAATCATCTTAAGTATACTGGTTAAAGGATATATGAATTTAAACGTTTCTTCAATCACACATAAAATAATGAAAGTGGTCACCTTTTGTACCTTCATAGTAATGACAATGAAATCTAATTTCATTTTTTTGAAAGGGCAGTATTACAGAAAACAAGGTGACTTAGTATTTTTCCTCAATCCTATACTATCTTTAAAATTTTTTATTTTCCATTCATACATGAATGCATTTTATTTTGGTCAAACCTACTCCAACTCCTCCTGGCTCCCTCCTCTGACCCCTGCCATCTTCATGTCCTCTTTATATACCTCTCTGTGTCTGTCTGTCATTATCTATTTCTGTCTGTCTCTCTCCCTCCCCCTCTCTCTCTATATATATACATATATCCTACTGAGTCCAATTAATGTTGCCCACATACATGTGGATGTAAGGCATGGGCAACCTGCTGGGGGCCCCATCCCTGAAGAAAAATGACTTTTTCTCTCCGGAAGGTGTCCCTGTCAACTGGCTGTAGCTTCTCAACTAGCAGTGGGGGACTTGTGAGCCTTGCCTTAATCCATACTGGATTATCTTGACTAGACTGATCTTGTGCAGGTCTTGTGTAGGTAACCACAGCTGTTATGGGTTCATGTGTACACTTGCTTGTCATGTCTAGAAGACACTGTTTTACAGCACTTCTCCCCAATCTCTGGTTCTTAACAATCTTTTCACCCCCTCTTCTGTGATGTTCCCTGAGCCTTGTGAGGAAAGAAATCATACAGTATTCTTCTTTAAAAAAATTTAATTACATATATATGTGTGTGTCTGTGTGGGGATATTTGCAGATATCAGTAGAGGTGTTAGATCCCCTGGAACTGGAGTTATAGGTGGTTGTGAGCCTACTGATGTAGGTGCTGGTAATCGAACTTGAGTCCAAGAGCAGCAAGAACCTAACCACTGAGCTATCTCTCTACCTTCCATACACTGCTTTTCCTCCTCCTCCCCCCTCCCCCTCATCTTCTCCTTCCTTCCTTCCTTCCTTCCTTCCTTCCTTCCTTCCTTCCTTCCTTCCTTCCTTCCTT